ATATATATATATATATTTATTTATGTACGGCTATAAATATATTATTTGAAAACGAATTATAATATCCTTTAATTAATTAAATATGTAACTTATTTTGTTTTATTTTCAGATATATTTCTAACAAAAACATGCAGAATGTTAGAGGGACATCTTCATATGGTGCAGGGGCTCTCCTTTGACCCCTTAGGAAAATATATTGCTTCGCAGAGTAGCGATCAGACGTAAGTTTTTTAATGTAATTAAATATTTATTTTAATTAATTTATTAATTTCTATTTATTTATTTGTTTTTTATTATTTGTTTATTTATTTTACTTTAAAATTTTTATATCGCGTCGCAGAGTAGCGGTCAGCAGTTAAGTTTTCTATTTTGTTTAAATGCTTAATTAATTAATTTGTTTATTTGTTTATTTAATTTATTTATTTGTTTATTTAATTTATTTATTTGTTCAAAATAAATACCGAGAAGAAAGTGTTTGTTATTGCCATCATAAAAGTATATAAAAACATTTATTTTTAATTTAATTTAATTTAATTTTATTTTATTTTTTCTCTTCAGTGTTCGTCTCTGGTCACGAAGAGTGCCAGCGGGGGCGCAGCCTGCAGCAGCAGCAGCAGCACAGCAGCAGCAGCAGCAACAGCAGCAACAGCAGCAACAGCAGCAGCAGCAACAGCAGCAGCAGCAGACAGCAGCGGGAGGAGCAGATGGTGCTTGCGCAGCAGGAGGCGTTACAGCAGCAGCAGCATCAACAGCAACAGCAGCAGCAGCAACAGCAGCAACAGCAACAGCAGCAGCAGCAGCAACAGCAGCAGCAGGAAGAGCCCCCGTATGGCGCTGCGAAGTTGCTATTAAGTGCTGCGCAAAAACTCGAGGAGATTCAAACCAAGTATGTCTTTGCTATTCTTTTTTATTTATTTTATTTTTATTTATATTTCTTCTTTACTTTTTATTCTATTATAATCAAATGAAGAATATTATGTTTGTTTTGTCTTGTCTTTTTTTAATTCTCTTTTATTTCTTTTATTTTCTTTTTTTTTGTATTTGTTGTCTTTGGTCTGTCTCTGTCTTTTCGTTTTTATTCTTTTTAATTTTTTATTTATTTTTCTTGTCCTCCTTTTTATTTTATTTTATTTCTTCTGTTTATTGTGTCTTGTTTTTTAAACTCTTTTTTGTCTTATCACTTTTTCGTTTTAATTATATTTCTTTTCATTTGTTTTTCTTTGTCTTTTCTTTTTATTTATTTTTTATTGTTTTTCTCGTACAGTCTTTTGCTTGTTTTCATATATATCCTTTCTTATTCTTTTTATGTTTATTTATTTGTTTCTTCTTACTTGTGTTATACATATTTATATTTTTGTTTGTTGTTATTCTTTATTTATCTATTTATTTATTTATTTATTTGTTCTTTTTATCGCATTTATATTTAATTTTTCTATGTTTTGTTTGTTCTTACTCCGTTTATATTTATTTATTTTTATATATTATTATCTTCTCGCTGCATGCACATTTAATATTCAATAATGATAGAAATGAATTAATTTATTTATTTTTCTTCTCCTTCTCTCCTTTTCAGCAGGAAGAGAAGGAAGAGGAGCAGCCCGCTGCATGCACCGCTGGGAGCAGCAGCAGCAACAGCAACAGCAGCAGCAGCAGCAGCAGCAGCAGCAGCAGTTGGTCGCGCAGCATGCCTTCTAAACATCTCTTTTTAGCAGAAAATCAGTTAGCTTCTTTCTTTAGGCGTTTAGATTGGTCTCCCGACGGTACGCTGCTTGTTGCTCCAGCAGGCATTCAGCAAATAGCAGCAGCAACAGAAGCAGCAGCAGCAGCAGCAACAGCAAATGCAGCTACTCCCACTGCTGCTGCTGCTGCTGCATCGGAACGAACAGACACATCCTCGCCTACAAGCTCCCCAAGGACAAGCAGTACAGCTGCTGCAGCAACAGCAGCAGCAGCACCTGCTGCTGCTGCTGTGCCTGCTGCTGGGGGTGCCAGCTCGTCTCCCGCTGCTGCAGCAGACACTGCATGCAATGCTGCTTCCACCACCACCAGCAGCAGCAGCAGCAGCAGCAACGGAGAATCTTTTTATGCTGCTTATGCATTTCATAGGCGTCTACTGCAGCAGAGCACTTCACCCTTTGTCACACATAGGCAAGACAAAACCCTAAACCCTAAACCCTAACCCTTGGAAACCCTAAACCCTGAATTTATCTCGCTTTCTCTCGCTCCTCGTCTGTATACATGTATATATGCATATATATGTGTTTATATATGTATATATATATACATATATACATATATATATATATATATACGTATATTTATGTATGTACATGTATATTCGGATATATATATATATATATATGTATATATAATATTTGTTTGTATGAAGATACATGCGTTTAAACATTTCTTTGTTTTGTTTTTTTTTCTGTCTTTGTTTGTGAAGGCTTGAGGGGGGCCCTGCAGTTTGTGTGCGATTTAATCCTTGCTTCTTTGCACCTTTGCCTGTACCTCCTATATTAGAAGGTATATCATCATCATCATCATCATCTGCTGCTGCTGCTGCTGGAGATGCAGCAGCAGCAGCAGCAGCAGGGGCAGGGGCAGCAGCAGGGTGTGAAGGAGGTGCAGCCGCAGCAGCAGCAGCAGCAACAGCAGCAGCAGCAGCAGCAGCAGGATTGAATGAACAATATTCTATTACTCGCTCTTGGCTTTTTCGTGTAGAGGATCGAGAGCATTTGCTTCCTCTACCCAACAATCCTGCTGCTGCTGCTGCTGCTGATGGTGGTGGTGGTGCTGCTGCTGCTGTTGCTGATGGTGCTGCTGATAGTGCTGATCCTGATGCTGCTGATCCTGATGCTGCTGCAGCACCAGCAGCTGCAGCAGCAGCATCGAAGGGCTCTTCCCCGTTGTCACCAATCCAAGACCAACAGCAGCAGCAGCAGCAGCAGCAGCAGCAGCAGCAGCAGCAGCAGCAGCAGCAAGAGTCTTCTCTTCCGGGTTGTATGCAGGTGGATGGCGATTCCTTCTTCGTTGCTTCTTCTCCCAGCAGCAGCAGCAACAGCAGCAGCAGCACGAACAACATGAACAATAGCATTACCAGCAGCACCCTCAGCCCCACCAGCACGAGCAGCACCACCAGCAGCACCAGCAACAGCAGCAGCAGCAGCAACAGCAGCAGCAGCAGCAGCAGCAGCAGCAAGATAGTGCCGGCTGGTTATGTATATCCTCGCTTTGTCTATGCAATATGTACACTAGACGGAAGTATATTATTGTACGATACACAATTTCTTGCCTCCCCGATAGCTTTGCTTCGTCAGCTGCATTATGCACCGATAACAGATTGCAGCTGGAGCAGTGATGGTTTGCTGCTTGCATGCAGCAGCAGCGACGGATATATTACTTTCATTCGCTTCTATACACATGAAATCGGTGAAGTCCTTGCTGCACCCAACCCCCAAACTACCCAGCCGCAGCCGCAGCAGCAGCAGCAGCAGCAGCAGCCGCAGCAGCAGCAGCAGC